TCAAATATTGAAATACTTTTTACCAACTTCTTCATCCTCTATTGAATGAATTATGATGGATTCCATCATGCATATTTTGCAATCGAAAAAGTGAATAAATAAATAAATTACAAACCACCGACATTTTATTTGAATAGTTAAGCCCCTGTTTGATTCCCATTACTTGGTAATGAAAATGAGTAGAATAGTATTTTTTTTTAAAAATGAGTGATTGAAAAAGAGGGAAATTTTTTTGATTTACGTATAATATATTTTATGGAAGATTGTATGGTTGAAAATAAGAGAGAGAAAAATAGAATGTAATGTAATGTAATTTAATGGGAGGCCAAACGGGGGCTAAATATGTACCTTGTAATATCTACATATAAATATTGTGTCTATCTATTTCATAATATGACAACATTCCACTTTTATAAAATAAATCAGAGTAAAACTTGGATAAAATATTCACTTCTTCAAAAGATATTTCCCGACTCTTTCTCTCAAGAATAGCTTAAAATTCTTCATAGGCAGTTGCATTTCAAATGCCTTTCGAGTTGCGAAATATTATACATTTTGAGCAACAAAACATTGCGAGAGTTGGAAGCAAAAGTAACCAACCAACAAAAAAAGTTGAAAAAGCTTTACATTTTACTAAGTCAGCTATTTATCTGATAGTAATATGCAGATTGCAAAATCTATCAATCTTAAAATTACGAATGTGTAATCTAACTGGCAAGTATAAATTATTGAAAAACCAATAACGTTAACAGATAATTTACACGTTGGATTATGGATCGACTCACCACTATATCTTGTTTAACTTCTCTTTAATAGATCTCCTATACATCTCGAGCAACGATGAGTTCTTCTAGTTGATGGGCATTGACATCATCCGATAACACCAAAACGTCATCTTCTGTGGTGAAATCATAACGCTGTCCAATAGCTCTCAAAAGCTGGTACACTTCAAACATGGTAGGCCTCTCTTTAGGAGCCGGCAACACACAGCTACAAGCAACCTTAAGAAACTGGAAAAGCTCACTATCGAAACCTTTCCCAACCAACGACACATCGATTGCTTCCTGAAGTTTTGAGGTACTGGAGAGTTGGGAAATCCACTCAACTAGATTTCCCTTAAAGCTTTCTGGTGCTTTTGCTACAAAAATCGGTTTCTCACCGGTTACTAACCCCAGAAGAACGACCCCAAAGCTGTAGACATCCCCCTTCGGGGTGGCAACCAGTGTTCTTGTATATTCTGGAGCAACATAACCCAAGTCCCCAAATTCACCATTTATAAAAGTACTCAAATGAGTGTCAACGGGATTCATGAGCCTAGCAAGTCCAAAATCGGAAATTTTTGGCTCGTAATCCACATCCAGGAAGATGCATTTGGAACTTATATTTCGGTGAATAATACGGGGATTGCAACTGTGGTGCATCCATGCAAATCCTTTTGCTGCTCTTATCCCAATTTTAAGCCTCAATGGCCAATCCATAGGTTTCTCACCATCATACACGACATGTAACTTATCATGGAGGGTACCGTTCGACATGTGCTTATAGACTAAGAGTCTTTCCTTCTTAGTCATACAAAAGCCAAGAAGCGGAACCAGATTCCGATGCTTTACATTTCCTACAGTAGCCATCTCAGACACAAATTCTTTCTCTGATTGTTGAGTATCCTGCAATCTCTTCACCATAAGAGAGGTGCCATCTTCAAGTACTGCCTTATACATTGTCCCTGTTCTTCCTGACCCAATTATATTCTCTTTGCTGAAGTCATTGGTAGCCTTCATGAGATCACTTAGTTTCATTTTGGAAACCGACTTCTCAAACATCGAAAGCTGAAACAAGAAGACACGACTATTTGTGAGTCATTCCTTGCATGGAAAAAAAAAATTTAAAAGAAAATTAATTAAAAAAAGAACAAAAATTCTCATAAGCAGGCAGTACATAATTATATAGCTAATAGTTATTATATGTATAAGAAGAAATTCCAAGAAAATATAGGTCTATCTTGCCTTGATGCCTTTGGAACCCTTCATACTCTTCGCCCATTGGTTGCCTAGAGGATCGCCTTCCTTCTTCTTTCTAGCCACCTTGCGCATATAGAAGAACACGCCAATACACACACCCAAAGCGGCAAGAGTCAACCCACCAACAGCTGCCCCAACAATTGGTCCAATGTTAGTTTTCTTGGAAGCAACTTGGCAAGTCACCAACGGATCACCACAAAGTCCTGCATTATTCGCGTAGCTCTCTAGAGTAATACTAGCATTTTTTGAGAATCTTGGAACTGGCCCAGTCAATTGGTTGTTTGACACACTAAATTCCTTGATTCTGCCAAGTAGAGCAAGTTGTTGAGGGATTTGACCTGTGAACTGGTTGTTGTTAAGTTTGAGGACATTCAGGTAAGTGCAATTGGATAGACTTACAGGAATTTCTCCAGATAACTCGTTGTTGGAAAGATCAAGGCTCGTCAGAAATCCAACTATAAGAGAGATGTTATTTGGAATATTTCCATGGATTTTGTTATTAGAAAGATCTAACCCTGTCATGGACGAACAACGAGCAAGACCTAGTGGAAACGTGCCCTTAAGTCCCAAGTTCCCCAACTTGATATTCAAGACCCTATTCTCATCCGGATGCCAACATTCAATCCCAATAAATTTACAGATGAAGCCTTCAGTATTGTTATTGAAATTCCACGTTGTTAAGTAGCCATCTGGGTCTTCCAAAGAAGATTTTACTGCTTTGAGGCACTCAACATCACTCAGAGCAGCATAGCTGAAAGATCCACTGAAGAGCAACCAAATAGAGATAGCAAGAATAGGGAGAGCTCTCAAATTGAAGACCACCCTCGAGAAGAAAGCATCCATAATCCCGGATAAAACAAGTATGTTACCAAACTTTAGGTGTCGCATGGAAATATTATAATAGTCACCAAGTGGCATGCCTCATAAGTTTTGATTGCTGAACAGTTTCAACATCAACAAAACCAAAATTCAGAACTATGATTAAACATTCCAAAAACTGTTAGGTGGAGTAAAACAATAGTTAGGGGTGAGTGCAAAGTACCAACAGAGATTATTTCATATGATAGACAATCAATTGCAAAACCAGTTCATCAATGACCATTTTATCACTAAGAGGCAGAAATATCAGAAGTCTCCAACACTAAAGATGGAAAATAGTGAAACCAGTTCATCAATGACCATTTTATCACTAAGAGGCAGAAATATCCGAAGTCTCCAACACTAAAGATGGAAAATAGTGCAGACAAGAAAAGACAAGATTAAGGCGAAAAAAATTTACAGGTTGTTGATAATTTCTTACTTGTCGATATCAACGCATTATTTTGCACGTTCGAAAGCAAGAAAGAAATCAAACGAAACTACTACGGAGAATAATCAGTTTTTCGTTTGATAAAAGAGAACACACAAGCATTCAATTGAATTTTGGTCAATTAAACAGTACAACAGCTTCCACTTCCAACAACATCAAAAACCTAATTAGGAGAAAAGAAAAGAGTGTGAATAGTGATGAATGAATGCTTAAAACGGATTTAAATACTACTACTTCCTTGTATTAAAATCGTGAAATCAGAATAGCAAGAACAAAAATCCGCTTGAGTTAACTCAATTATACACCCCTGCAATCGGAAATTCACACTATCCAATAATTTGATAAAGAAAAATCAAAGAAATCCACCTCAGTTATCACAAAAGGGGATCATATCTTTCATGCCAATTCAAAGAAAATCATAAAGAAAACCCCACAGCTCTCTGTTCGAAATATTCAAACCCAACAACAGATTATGTGCTTACAACTACATATATGCATACAAGAAAAAAAAATGCTAAAATTAAAAACAAATAGAGATAGACAAATAGATATTTACTGGTGGTTATTCGCAAGTTTCTTCGATCTTGATGTTGAACGGAGACTTGAGGGTGGACTGGAATTATAAGAACAACAATTACTATATATTTCATCATTTTGTTACTGTTGAGTGTCTGGTCAAAGAAGGGAAGCAATTTTCCACCATCTTTTTTTTTTTTTGGTTTCTTCTGCTTTCATTTTCCTTTTTCCATTGAAGTAAACGGACACAAGTGAAAAGTCGATTTTGGAGGGTCCGTGGTTTGACCATTTCTCCGTTTGTTTGTTTTCGGCATTTTCACATCATTGCCTCAAACTAATGGCCAATTTGATTGTTTAGCTAATTTGAATATTACTCGATTATAGCCAATCCATAATCTTCGACTAGAATGTCTCAATTTGAGCTAGGTAAATATTGATTTGAGCCAATTTTCAGAGGAAACAATGCAATAGGATGCTTAAATTAATTACAAAAGGAACTCAATGTAATATTGATTTGAGCCAATTATAGCTCCTGATTGGAGCCGATTTTAAGAGAATTTTTGTACCATTGCCGTTTTGTTGACTTTGCTTCTCATACCTAGGACCCACCTAAAAAGATAACGATCAGAACACGATTTTTTCTGACCTAACAAATTGGCTCCGAACAGATTCATAATTGTATTAGTGTTATAATGTATACATAAATCAATCGATATACCTAACATGACCAATTTGGTATTCACGTGGTAAAAGACAACTTGATATAATTTGTTTATATCCCCAACACAATTTTTCAATGATAATATCATAAATATGATTAAAACGTGAACACGCTAGACAATGATGGTCCACTCAAAATTAAAGAGATTTGACAACTATTTTATAACTTCGAAACAAAAAGTTTGAACTTTCTACTTGTAAATATCTTAAGGACATCCGCACCATGTAAGAGAGATTGTTTACTAACGTATTAAAATTACTTTACTTTCGTCATGGTTACAATAAATGATTTAAGCTCTAAAATTACTCTAATCTAGTTACAAAACTTTTCTTACCCCTATTTGTGAAATATTTGAAATAATTAACAAGGTTTTTGAGACCCACTTTCACTTGTTCATTGAAGCAATTTTTTTACTCATTTATTTCTACTTTTTATTTTTATTTTTTGTACATAAGCAAACAAATTCTTATGTTGTACAATGTGTCACTATGTCACGAACGAAACATAGCCACTATAGAGATTGCGTTTCTTCTATTTAGAAGGGTGCACCAGTAAAATCTAAAGAAAACCATCATTCTTAAAGCAACGTTATACGAAGGAAAATAATGGAGCGGATATTATTGAAGATCACTTAAACAATTTCGTCAATGATTGATAATGGTAATGTTGTCAATATTATTGTCAAACATTACTAACAGCGATATAAACATCGATGAATTTGAATTTTCGATATACCTACAAATCATTTTTAAAAGTCTCATTGTGACCCACTTCCAAATCAGCATCCTAAACTGTATGCATTGAGTGAAACTATAACAAAATTCAACTTAAAAGGACAAACCTTCGGAAACATATTAGGAAAAAAAAAAAAGTGGAAATTGTAGACGATGTCAAAATTTGTCAAGACATTTACAAAAATGTCACTTTTTCTTTAGCATTGCAAAAATGCCAATTTTAATCTTATTTGCCCCTAAAACTAATTTCAAATACCCTACATGTCCTAATTAAATGATATTTGACAAATGGAAGAAATAGTACCAAATTCAGTGTCAGATGAAATTGAAAAAAAAAAAAATAGAGCAAAAATCACTATGCACGCTCCAATCCCCATTCGAAGAACCCCAAATCTCTCATTTCTCTCACTGCGCCGTCGTCGAAAACTTTCCGCCACTAACAGAGTGAAGAAAACTACAACGACGAACACCATGAAAATGATACACAAAGTATGTACACCCTCACTCTGTCTCGAAAATTGCTGAACCCACTCCCATAAACCCCTAAAGAAACCGCAAACTCCCCACCTTTTTGCCATCGACGACCACCTTATAAAACGATGATCGTCAATAAAACCACTGACGACGAAGGAAGACCAGAAAAAGTGCAAACTAAATCTATTATTCTAACACCCAATCGACCGTGTGGTTGTAATATGTTCACTTGGCGTCAGTAGCTGTGAAGGAAAAGGCGTTTTCAAGCCTAAAAAGGTGACTTTCTTTCTAAATTTTTGGGAAAAAAAAAGGATTATGTTGCATTTGATTTTCATTTCAATATTCGGTAGTATTGGCGGGTTTATTAGCAATCTATTAAGGGAAAACTTTTGTAGACGTTTATTTTTATTTATGCTTTGCAATTGGCTTTGTAGATGTATATTTTGATTTATGCTTTGCAATTGGCTTTAGCGATTTTGCTATGCTGGTTTATGGTATCTATATGGGTGAAAAATGTTGTTACTCCTGCTGATTTATGGTATGTATATGGTACCGATTTTGCTATGCTGGTTTGTGGTATCAAAATGGTCTATCTATATATTCTTGCTTGAACCATTTGAACGGCACATTTTGAGAGAGAGAGAGAGAGAGAGACTTCATTTTTCTGCTGGGAACATGAATTTAGAGAGAGACTTTATTCTAGGTTTTTCAGATTTGAGAGGTTTTTTCTCTAGGGTTTGAAGTCTACTGCTTCTCTAAAATTAACTTTCGTTTCTTGCTTGATTCCTCTACTGGTCGAGTGATTGTGAGAGGTTATTCTTGGTTTTTGGAGTCAGTTTCATGGGTTGTCTTTGTTGATAAAGAATCGTATTTTCTTGGTAATTGGGGCATAATTTCTTGAGTGTTTTCAACAAATAAAATTTGGAAAACCATTTTGATGTGGGTTTGTTGTTTTAATTTTTGATATGGATGGATGTTTTTCATGCTTTCGATCATCAAAAATTGAAAGAAATAATAGTGATATTGGAGTGAAACAAGTGGTGAAAAAGGAGTCTTTTAAAGAAGGTTTGGCAGCTCAAGCTCATGGGAATAGAGTGAATTTAGGTGAATAATTTCAATATTTCTTTTTCTTTTTCCTTTTAATTTTAGGAAATATTTTCATTTTCAATTTGGATTATTATGTTGCTTTCGTGTTTCTTTTATAAATTTGATCCGTGGTTCTTTTATCTATTTTTAATATTTTTTAGTGATTTCGAGATTTCAGATATTTATAATGTTAAATAAAAAATGAAATTCCTTGTTTTCTGTACTTGCATCTTTATTTTAGTTTGATTTGTAATGTAAGAGAAGTAGTGGTATTTCTTATTTTGGGGGTGGGGTTAGGGAATTTGCCTGTGGTCAAGTTCCTGCAATTTTTTTGTATAATTTTTATTTACTTGCTGTGAATTTTAATAGAATACTATGAGTACCAAATGAAATGGTATCAATAATTTTTTGTGCAAAAAACTTGAACATTTTCCATCCAGAAGTGGAAAAGCAGTGGAGTTGACTTATTTTTAGTTGGCGTGCTGAAAATATGAATGTTCAATTATGCATTTGTGTAATTGTATTGTTTAGGCTCATACTGCTCTCTGTAACTACGTTAGGTCTTCTAGTAGATATGGTGAAACGGAATGGAGTTACGACAAACGATATAAGTAGTAGACCCCAAAAGTATTTAGAATAAGGGTTATTTCGTGCTTACTGATTTCTGCATTTGCAAGTGAAGTAGATATCATACAGAAGTGGCATGTCATGCTTTGATTTTTATGTTATCTTTGAGGTATGCTCGACAAAATAAAACAACGATAAAAGTTTACAGCTAGATATCGTTGCCACGTATGGTTTGAGTTGTAGAATCAATTTAAGTTACTTTTCTAAGTAATATTAGCCCTACTCGAGTCTTGTGTAGATATGTAGGAGGGGATGGTCCTAGGTTTGTGTAGGGATTTTGTTTGTCTACGAGAACGGATTTATTTTCAAGTTTATTGTTCTTCAACAGTTTCATGTTCACTAATTTTCTTTTTGTTATATATTCCATCCTTTTAATCTTTCCGGCATTTGCTCTACATTTCCTAGATAAATCAAAACCTCATAGTAACAATGATTCAAAAAAGGAAGCAATGATTCGAAAATAACCAATAGCAAATACTGCTGCACAAACATTTACATTTCGTGAAGTTGCGGCTACTACAAAAAACTTTAGGCCAGAGTGCTTGCTGGGTGAAGGTGGGTTCGACCGAGTTTACAAGGTCCGTTAAAAAGCAAAGACAGATAAATTCTCCTAAAGCACATCATAAAGTAGCTGGAAGAATTTCTTTAAAGTTAATTTTTTGTTTCGATCGTCATGTTGGATTCCTTTTGTATAAATAACAGAAATGCTTAAATGGATAAGGGTAGTCCGATGTGGCAATTTAAACAGGTGTAACAGGAAAAGAAAAAAGGGAAAACTGAAAAAGAAAATAAAATGTTTACTTTACTTTTATGTATGGTTTTATGATTCTTGATTAATTCTTGGACGCTCCTCAACTTTTCAGTTAAACACGTTCATTTCAGAAAATGTAGTGCACATATGACTATTGGTCAAACTTATTGAATAGTATGAAGTAAATATCAAAGAAATCGCACTAGATGCCATTTGTTGGGCTTTCCACTGTGAACAATATGGCGGATAAATTGCATTTGTGGGGTACAGATAAATTGAACATGGAGGACTAGGTGACATGACCAAAGTACAGTACTTGAATGAGTGAAGTGTTATTCATAATCTGCTAAATAGATATGCTCTCAATCAAATTTATGACCTTAAACCACTATTATGTTCATCATTTAAAATTTAGAAGTGTTCTAGAATCGATAAATTACTTA